CTATAATTATGTAGTGTGAAAGGACTAGTTTAGGGGTACATGGCAGACTGGGAGGAATTCAGAGGTGCCATTGAAAGTGGCTACCGCAGTGGCCTCCTGCGTTTGTGGGTCGAAAGTGCATCTGCAGTGTAGAAATAATGCAGTTTAACACCACTTTATCTGCCATGGCTTCAACTTATGAAATCCTGGGACCTGTAGTGGTGTCCAGCACTCTTTGGTAGAGAAGGCAAAAGGCCTTGTAAAACTACAAATCCTGGGATTCCATAGGATGGAGCTACTGCACAGAAAGTGGTACCAAACTGCATTATTTTTACAGTGCAGATGCACCCTGAGGCAGAGATCCATTCTGCCTAATAGTAGGGCCAGCCCTGAGATGGATGAATGGAGAAAGAGAGAGAGAAAGAGAGAGAGAATAATTTGCAAGAAAAATAAATAGATGTGGGCCCAAGTTTTAGGGTTGGGGTTAAAGGTGATGCAAAGGCCATTGATGTAATATTTGGAACCATCTCTATCCATACCGCCCCCTCAAATCCATGGAAAGCATATTTGTTCTATGACGTTGAAAGCCCGTCTGATATCATTCCAATGAAATCATGTCCTCATCAATTCTCTACTTCTTTGGATTTACGCTTGAAGCCTTACGATCATTTCCTACCTCCTCCTCCTCCTCCATCCCCCTCCATATATACAGGAGAGGAGTCCAGGGGAGTTGGAGGAGGAGGAATGGAGAGGAGGGGTTTCCATAGAGAGAATTAAACAATTCACCAGCTCCTTGAACAACAGTCAAAGGCAAGGAAGAGAGAAGTCCAGGTTAATGCACCTGATACCTTTCTCCTTACCTTGAGAGACAGAGAGAGAGAGAGAAGCAGGTTGGGAAGCTGAGGGCAAAGGCTTCGCCCTCCTGGCTCCTCAGCCAAAGCGCAGGTAAGTGGCTTTTCCTACCTGGATTTGAAGAAACAGCAGAGACTTTGCTTGGGAAGGAAGGAAGGAAGGAAGGAAGGAAGGAAGGAAGGAAGGAAGGAGAGGGGGGAGAAAATCAGAAAGAAGGGAAGGAGAGAAGAAGAGAGAAGAAGGAAGGAGGGTAGGAAGGAAGGAAGAAAGGAAGGAAGGGAAGAAAGAGAGAGAAGGAAGGAGAGAAACTTAGAAAAAAGAGAGTGTAATGTGCAACACACTCCTCATTGTTCCATTGTGTGTGTAGAATTCAAAGACTAGTCTGGAAAATCAGTATGCAAAGGGATCTTTATGCACCTTTTTAAAAGAGAGAGGAAGGGAGAGAAAGAAAGAAAGAAAGAAAGAAAGAAAGAAAGAAAGAAAGAAAGAAAGAAAGAAAGAAAGAAAGAAAGAAAGAGGGGAAGGAAAGAAGGAGATAAAGAGAGAAGAAAGAAAGAAAGATCTGAATATTTCAGCATTCCTCACAGAATATATATATTACTCTCTCTCTCTTTCTTTCTTTCTTTCTCTCTCTCTCTCTCTCTCTCTCTCTATATATATATATATATATATATATAATGTCTGGATTCTGGAGTTATCTAAAATGCTTGTGTATAATGTCAGATGTCTGGGCTTTGATTTGTAATAATAATAATAATAATAAGATGATGATGATGATGATGATGATGATGATGATGATGATGATGATGGAGGAGCCAGAATGGGAAGGAACTGGGCAAAGCAATGGGAAGAGTTTCAAGGCTAACCAAGACTACAGAAGTCCAACTGAGATCAAGGGAGTGGGATGAAAGTTGCTTGCTGGAAAAAAGCTTTGGGGGATTGTTTTGATGGTTCTCAGATGAAGAAGGACGGGGGCCCGGTGCTCATCCCATGAGAACCGAATAGGAAGCCAGGAGGTGAAATAACAGGTAGGTCTGGGTGAAGCATCACAGGAGGAGACCTTGAAGAGCTTCAATGGGAGGGTCTCTTCCCCAGACCAATTTTAAAAGGAACCTGAGCTCAAGCAGCAAGCAGCTGGTTGAGTTTCCTGCTAGGAAAATCCTGGGCAAGAGACTCTTCCATCAGAATCTGTACATGCAAGAGCAGTTTGGCCATGGGAGACTTGGAGTTTAGGGACATCTCAAGCCCTTGTGATGCTTTCACCAACGATGGACAATCCAAACCGGCTAGAGAAACCACTTTGGGTTCTATTCTGAACTTTTAAACCAAGCTATCCGAGGTGCTGAACTCGATTCCCTCCAAACAGGTCCACCGTTTTGCCCAGCTCCTTTGAAGTTCGGACTAAAACCCAGAGTAAATCCACCCTCTTCAGTTACATGGAACTCACCAGCTGCCATCATGAACAATACAGTCCTCCTGTTTCTCCAAGTCAATCATAGAATCATAGAATCCTAGAGTTGGAAGAGACTCCAAGGGCCATCCAGTCCAACCCCATTCTGCCATGCAGGAACTCACAATCAAAGCATCCCCAGCAGATGATATGATAGAGGAGATGCTTTTAGATACACAACTCCCTTGTTCCCTGGACAGGAGATAACCCATGGCTACCTAGACAGCAAACGGCCCTGTTCAGAATGGTTTTGCAGGTCCCTTCAGTGTTGTTGTTGTTGCTGTTGTTGTTGTTTAAGACAATGGAAGATGGTGATGACAGATTTGCTTCATATTTTCTGATGCACTCATGCTTCTTTTGGGTTGGTCAGTTTGGTTTTTGGTACCCGTATCGTCTCTAGACAAACAGCAGTCATGAGCGATGGAAGAAGCACTATTGGGTTGTGTGACAAATGCTATGAACAGAGACAACTGGAGACTAGGCATGCTACAATTTCCACTACCATTGTGTTGTATTACATTGTTGTTGTCGTTGTCGTTGTTGTTATCATTTGTTTATATAGTGCCATCCATGTTTGTGGTGCTTTGCAAACAGAATAAAACATTTGTAACTATTTCAATCACTTGAAGTACTAAAATGCAATACTAAAATACAATGCAAAAAAAAAAAAAGCCACGTACACAAACACAAAATGCAGAATAAAACAACATAGTCAGTCCAGATAATCAGTTATAGTAAAAACATGATCTGAAATTGGAAAAGTTTTAGAAAGCAAAAAAGAAAGGAAAGCAAAAGAAAAGAGAAAAGAAAAGAAAAGAAAAAACGAAAATACGTTGCTTTATTTTCTCTCGCACACACAGAGGCAGACATTTCCCCCCCTCCCAAAGCTGGGACTCAAACAGGCTAAGGCATTCTGGGAGCTGTAGTCCAAAATAGTAACTCTCTCAAGGTCTGTGAAAAATTCATAAAGCAGGGGAAGAGAGAAAGTCCTTACAAGATAAAAAGGAATAGTCAAAGCACATGTAGAGAAAAGGTTATGTTTTAAAATGTATGGTGTAATAGTTTGAGTTTTGGACTTTGAAAACCAGGGTCCAAATTCCAGCTCTGCCATGGAAACCCACTGGGTGACCTTGGGCAAGTCACATTATCTCAGCCTCAGAGGAAGGCAAAGGTAGACACACACACCGCCCCCGTACAAATTTTGCTAAGTATATCCCATGACAAATTTGCCTTAGCGTCACCATAAGTCAGAAACTACTTGAAGGAACACAATAACAACAACATTTAAAATTACTTTCAGCTGTCTATAGAGGTTAAAATGGATTAATTGATCTATATCCCATTTTTCTCTTGAATGGGATCCAAGGCGGCTATCAATGTGACTGGAAGCAAGCAACATGACCTATAGCATAATAACAAAGATGCTTAAAAGCTGTTGCATAAGCCTCCACATTAAGACATCCATACTTTAAAACAATATAAATTCATTTTTAAAAATGACACTAACAATCAAGATATAGCGCATATACACGCCATTAGGGTCCTTTTTGCATAGCCTCTTACCGACCAAATATTTCTTCAAATAAAAAGATTTTTTACGTTCAAGAGGAAGGGCAGCAAGGAGGAAATCAGCCTATTTTCCTGTAGCTGAGAGTTCCACAGACTGGGGATAAGGGTATTGTCTCCAAATTTTATTTATGTATTTATGTATTTATTTATTTATTTATTTTTATTTCCTGCCTTCCTCAGTCCACAATTTCTTGCATTGCTGCCACTTAAAATTTGTCAGTTAAGCATTCAAAAACACAGGCTAGGCATGCACAGATCCACCAAAAAGGAGCTGGCCAAATGACCAAGGAAAGGGGAGTTCTAGGTGTGAATGATTTCCAGTCTCTCTCTCTTGGCCATGCTAGAAATTTGGAGACTAAAGGAAAAATGACATTGAGGGGCAGAATTCTAGTTTGCATAAGCAATGTTTCCAATTCACCCAGCCCTATGGTTACACCTCTGGAGCAGCCACCAAGAAGGCTCTGCGCCAAGTCCTCCCCATCCATACTTTTGGAAGTGATGGAACAGAGGGAACATTTGGAAGTTCTTCCTAATATTGAGGTGGAATCCATTGCTTCGTGTCCCAGTCTCTAGAGCAGCAGAAAACAAGCTTGCTCCATCCTCAACATGACATCCCTTCGGATATTTAAGCATGTATGGATGTGAGAGCTGGATGATGTATAAAGGGAAGAAAATCATCTCATTTGAAATGTTGTGGTAGAGGAGAGTTCTGTGGATACCATGGACTGCTAAAAAGACAAATAAATGGAGAAAATCAAGGCTGAACTCTCCCTAGAAGCCAAAAATGACTAAATTGAAGCCGTCATACTTTGAGTATATCATGAGAAGGCATGACCCCCTAGAAAAGACAATAATGCTTGGGAAGATTGAAAGCATCAGGAAAAAGAGGAAGACTGCATTCCAGACGGATAGATGCAGTCAAGGCCCTGAATCTGCAAGACCTAACCAGGGCTGACAAGGACAGGATGTCTTGGAGATGTCTCCTTCATGTTGTTGTTGTGTGCCTTCAAGCCATTTCTGACTTACGGTGACTCTAAGGGGAACCTATCGTGGGGTTTTCTTGGCAAGATTTCTTCAGAGGAGGTTTGCCATTGCCTTCCTCTGAGGCTGAGAGAGTATGACTTGCCCAAGGTCACCCAGTGGGTTTTATGGCCAAGCTGGGGATTGAACCCTAGTCTCCAGAGTCATAGTCTAATGCTCAAACCACTACACTGGCTCTCATCTCATGCGTAGGGTTGCCATAAGTCAAGGTCAACTTGAAGGCACTTAACACACACACACACATCACATCACATCCCTTCTTAACCTTCTCTTCTCCAGGCTAAAGATACCCAACTCCCTAAGTCATTCCTCATAGGGCTTTATGGTTTCCAGACCCTTCCCCATTTTGGTCACCCTCCTCTGGACACGCTCCGGCTTGTCTAGATCCTTCTTGAATTGTGGTGCCCAGAACTGGACACTGGATTCCAGCTGAGGTCTGACCAAAGCAAAGTAGAGTAATGCTAATGGATGAGCAGAAGAGTAGAAGAGGGAAATGCAGCAGTTGCATAGATTGTCCACCATGTTTCTTTTAGTCATGTTTGCTCAACTAGGCTTTGCAGGATCGTGAAACCTTTAAATAGCCAAGCGGTTTGCCAGCCACAGGGAATCTCTTCCTGTGGTAAGCAACTACTGTTGAGCCAGTGCAGACATTGTGGACACAGATCCAACCAGCCTTCATCACACTTGAGCTTGTGACATTTGATGTGCAACGCTGAGAGCTTAGCAAGCTGAGACTATTGTCCTTCGCCAAAATTAATTTTGGTGGGTGCATGTCTGTTGTTTTTATTACCCGAACTAGAGGAAAATTACTTATTTTGACTACAGCACCCAGAATCCCCCAGTGAGCATGTCTCCTAATCATGCTGGGTTGGGGAGAAGGAATCCTGGAAGGTGTAGTCCATCAAAAGAAACTTTCCTGAGTTATGCCACTCCCGGTCTACCAGCACTTAATTTTTCTGAATAAAAAAATGCACATCAGTCAACATTTCCCAGTTGGTTGCCCTTCACACTGTTGTGCTGGCTAGGATGATGGAAGCTGTAGTCCAACACATCAGTTTACCAGTTTACACATCAGAGTACCAGTTTAGGGACGGATCTCTTCCTGACTGATCGATTGATCGTTCCATGATACTGATGTACGCTGCCCTTGTCTGTCCCATGATGCCTCATTTTAATTATGCTTAATTTAGTTAATTTTATTCATTGAATATATTTTATGATGCTGTGTTAGTTTTAAATTGGGGGTAAGGGGATCATGATATTTTATCATGTTTTTTATAGCTGTATTGTTGTGTTTCATAATTGTTACATGCCTCGATTCTTCGGGGAGAGGCGAGTTATAAATAAAATTATTATTATTATTATTATTATTATTATTATTATTATTATTATTATTATTATTATTATTATTATTATTGGAAGCATAAAGCACTAGGCTATGATGGTATTCATTCTAAATGGCCTTCAAGAAACCACTAGCTTGGCCTTTGCCTACCTTGCTAGGTTGTTGAGAATGACTGGTTTGATAAAAATATACAGATTGTATTCACTATTATAAATGCAGATAACCACGTCTTTTGCAAAGCTGTCTGATCTACCTGACTGTGCTTGACTAAAGCCACAAGGTGGAGCCAAATAACTATGTCCACCATTATTAGAAAAGCAATTCCTTTATCAACCCAAGACTGTAACTTATCCACATTTAAGATTATATCATATTCCTTCTTCAGATTTTTTTTTTTTTTTTGGCCATCCGAATCTCTCCACTAATGGAGATTTGTACCAAGTTTCCATTATTACAGATGATGTGATAATGGATCCACTTAAAATTCATGTCTTCAGCAGAAGACGTTTGCTGAAATGTGTTTTTCTTTTGAAAAAAAAATCCATTTTATAAAAAGTGTTATTTTTGTATTGTGATGGCTTCCTTGCTCCACTCTTCATACTTTTTAGCTCGATATTAAACGGATGGATGGCAAGACATCATTGGTTGGGAGATTGGAGAAAACCAATAGTGCACTCCACTAATGTGTTCATGTCTCTCTCTAGTAAGAGAGGGCAACTGTGGTCCTCCAGACAATGCCCCACAGTTGATAATGCTGGCTAAAGCTCCTGTGAGGGCTGTAGGGAAAATAAAATATTCCTGCTGTGCGGGGTCAATGAAAAATCACCCCCAGCTTTGGAACAATCTCCTCTGATCAGTGCCAACATTGACATTCCAGTGCCAAGTATACCGTGGCATTTTATTACTCGCCATTCAACAATGTAGTCTATGGATCTATGCTAGTTGGGATCGGACAATAGGATTTGAACCATTGGATTGTGCATTGGATTCATGGACTTGTCAGTGACTTCCAGAGACCACTGGGTTCACAAGGATTGCAGGAACAGGCTCTGCACATTATTGTCCTTTGCACGCAGGATTAATAAGCAAGCACATTTGCAGGTAGACCATTAGTTCCACAATGATGGTATTCAACAGAAATGTAGTGTAGCACAACTACCATGTCACAACATTAATGTAGATTGAATGCTTTCATGCTATATAATGATAGCACCTTGATTCTACATTTATTCATTGATTGATTTAATTAATTTAGATCCCACCTTTCTCCTATCATGGGATTCAAGGCAGTGTACAGCATCTAAACACACGCACACACAGAGTACAGTCTTGAAGGTTCTTAATGCAAAAGTTAAAACACAATTAAACTAAATTTGATGTTTAAACACAAGTTAAAATGGCATTAAAAAACATTAGAACAGCATTAAAAGAGAACGAAATAAAAAATACTGTTGTTGTTATGAGCCTTCAAGTTCTTTCCAGCTTATGGTGACCTTGAGGTGAACCTATTATGGGGCTTTCTTGGCAAGTTTCTTCTGAGGGGGCTTGTCTTTGCTGAGAGAGTGTGACTTGGCCAAGGTCACCCAGGGGGTTTCCACGGCTGAGACGGGATTCGAACCCTGGTCTCCAGAGTCCTAGTCCAACACTCAAACCACTATGCCACACTGGCTCTCTACTCCCATGAAAAGCTCTACCAACTGCAACATACAGTTGGCTCTCCATATCCACGGATTCTTTATCCATGGATTCAGCCTTCCAGCAGAAGGAGTTTTCCTTTGCCTGAGATATTCACACCAATTGTCCGAACTTTTCTCCAATCTCCCAACCATTCTTCTTCATTGGGAAAACCATTTAGCAATCGGGTAATCCATTCATGCTGAGATTACTGCCTCGGGATATGACTTTAGGTATATATATCACTACTCAGACACTAGCAATTTGGTCTAGTCTGAAGCAGGACAGACACTCCGTCCGACTTCTACTAGATTCCTCAATAACCGGCCACCGCACTTGTCACGATGGCTTTTGAGTCACCTCCATTCCAGACACCCCTTGATTGGATCCATGCTTCAGGATCGGTATCACCATGAACAAGGCCTCCACTTTCCCCCTTCTCCCGCCTTTGCTTTGTTGGTTCTTGTGTGTGTGCATGAGAGAGAGAGAGAATGTGTGTGTGTGCGTGTGTGTGGTTTCTTTATTAATAAAACTACAAAACCTATTTGGAATTGACTCTGGAGTTCTGTGTGATTTGGAACTGATATACAAAGGGTTAGGTCCCAGGCTGAACGTTGCCCAACCAAGGTATATTTTGTTGATATTTAATAAATATTATCAATAGATATGATTTGTGGATGCCCTTCTGGGTAGATATGACCAGCCAAAAGTATATTTTGTTGATATTTATTCTTTGATAGATCTGACTGATAGATATTATTTGGGGGTGCCCTCCTGGGTAGATATTACTATCCAAAGGTATATTTTGTTGGTATTTATTATTTGATAGATATGATTGATAGATATTATTTGGGGGTGCCCTCCTGGGTAGGTATGATCAGCCAAAGGTAACTTTTGTTGATGGCCATTATTTGATAGATATTATTGATAGATAGGGAGCTGTGGTGGTGCAGTAGTTAACTGCTGGTCCTGAAGTCACAAGATTGTGAATTCAATCACAGAGGGCTCCAAGGTTGACTCAGCCTTCCATCCTTCCGTAGGTCGGTAAAATGAGTACCCGGCTTGTTGGGGGCAATTGGCTAACACATTGTAGCAATAGCAATAGCAGCTTCATTTATATACCGCTTAATACTGTGCTATGCAGTCTCTAAGTGGTTTACAACTGTAAGCTCATCACCCCCATCAAGCTGGGGACTCATTTTAGCTACCTCAGAAGGGTGCCAGGCTGAGTCGAGCCTGAGCCCCTGGCTGGTACTGGACTCACAACCTTGTGGATTGTGAGTAAGAAGCTGCAGTACAGGCATTTCATCACTGTGCCACCAGGGCTCCTAAACCTCTTAAAAGAGTTCTGAGTTCACTATGAGGTGGTATAGAAATGGCAGTAATGGGCTGGATAAGGAAAAATTGATTGAAACTAAATCCAGACTAAACGGAAGTGCTCACGGTAGCAGCCCCGAAACCAAGGATTGGGTTGCAACCTCCAGTCCTGGATGGGGTCACACTCTCCACGAAGGACTGTGTTCGCAGTCTGGGGGATGGTCCTTGATTCGTCGCTTCAGATGACTAGTCAGGTAAATGCGATGGTCAGGAGCACCTGCTATCAGTTTCAGCTGATGCGCCAACTGTGCCCTTTCCTGGAAGTAAAGGATCTTGAGACTGTAGTGCATGTGCTGGTAACCTCCCGTCTGGATTTCTGTAATGCGCTCTAC